CTTAAGCTGTCTTCCCTGGGGAATTCTAGAAGTAAGTGGTCTTTGCTTGCAGCTCAGAACAGTGTTACAAGGAGGGCCTGCTTGTTTGTCCCGACTGCCCTGCTAGCTTAGCCCCGGAATAACCACACAGAAACTGTATTAATTAAAACACTGCTTGGCCCATTAGCTCTTACTTCTTATTGGCTAACTCTTACATATATATAAGTTTAACCCATTTCCATTAATCTGTATATCACCATGAGGTTGTGGCCTACCAGCAAAGTCTTAGCACGTCTATCTCCTGTGGCAGGTCCATGGTATCTCTCTGACTCTGCTTTCTTCCTCCCAGAATTCAGTTCCATCTTCCCCACCTACCTAAGTTTTGCCCTATCAGTCCAAGGCAATTTTTTATTCATTAACCAATACAAGTAACATATAGAAAGAAGGACCTCCTACACCAGAACAAGTAATGACAGGGCCCCTAATAGCACTGCACCAAGCACCATGTTGGTGATGACCCAGCAGGGGTCATCCCCTGCCATCCCTGGGGCCACCTTATAGGTAGCTTCCTATGAGTGGCCTCACCCTGGTCTAGACCACACCATCTCCTTACAGACTGAAGTGGGTTAATTCTACTTTCTTCAACACTCTCGGTCTCCCCCAGTCTCCCAGTTTAGTTCCATAGGGTCCTTCATAAAGGCAAACTCAGTCAGCTTCCAGTCCCCACTCCAATTTAGAAACCACTAGAATTCTCATTACTGTGGTGACAGACCACATATCTAACATTGTTCCCAATGCAAGCCTTGCTCACCCTGTGACCATGGCTCCCACAAGGATCTCTTGAACACAGTGGCTCTCAACCTTCCTAATGGTGCCACCCTTTAGTAGAGTTTCTCATGTTGTGGTAAATTATTCTCATGTTGTGGTAAAATTATTCTCATTGCTACTTCATAACTGTGATTTTGCCACTCTGTTATGAATCATAATGGGTTTTCCGATGGTCTTAGGTCTAGGTGACCCCTGTGAAACAGTTGACCCCCAAGGGGGTCGTGACCCACAGGTTGAGAACCTCTTCTATAATATAAGCTCCTTCTGGCCCAAACACACTCTGCTTGATGGTTCCTGCTGCTTTACTGACTGCCTCCTCCACCCAACTCTAAGCTCTGCATGAGCCCCTTAAACTTTACCAAGTAAGTCAGAATCTCCTGGCTCTGGCTCTCCTGTCACTTGCCACCATCTCTCATATTTGCTGTGACAAAATCCCATGACCAAAAGCAACTTGTAGAAGAAAGAATTTATCTTGGTTTATGATCCCATGACAACGGGGAAAGTGGCATCACACCATGCTGGCGGGAGCAGATGCCTGGCTGCTCGCATGTTTTCGTCTACACACAGAAAGCAGGGTCAGAGCAAGCAGTGGCATGAGGCTCTAAACCCTCAAAGTCCTTCTTCTGTGATGCACATCCTCCAGTGGGACCATTACCACTAAAGGTTCCATAACCTCCCCCAAGCAGCACCGCCAACTGAAGACCAAGTGTTCAAATACATGAACAAGGGGGACATGTCATATATAAGCCAGTACAGTGAACTGGGCATGGCCGTGTATGCCCTAAATCCCAGCCCTCGGGAGATAGGGGCAGGTGGATCTCTATAAATTTGAGGCCAAGCTGATTTACATAGCAAGATCCAGAGAGGCTGCAGATATACAGTGAGACCCTGTCTAAACAAACAAAACCACTACAGTGCCCAAACATCAACCCCAAGAGAGTGTATCCAAATGATAATGTAAGCATTTGGCTGTTGGTGTCTGACTGCAATTTATATAGGGGCTGATGGGAGTGGGCAAGACTGTCCTTGCCTAGACATAAGGCAGAACCTGGTACACAGTAGGACCTTAATGCAGACTGCTAAATGGACATGGACATGCAGACGGTCAATAAACAAATGCATGAGTGAGCACATCTCTTCTCTAGTCTTCTTTCTTGCTGGAGAGAATGCTGCACCTGTATCTCTGGCCCACTCCGCACAGTACATCCCAGTGCATTTTAGCATCCTTGGGGGGGGGGGCTCAGATGACCCTCTCTCCTTTCCAACCACCACAATCAGCTTACACATCTCCTCATCAGGACCACACTCTCCAACACCCCCACTTCTGGACTTCATTCTATATCCCACCTGAGACATTTGATCCCTGCAGTGGGCAGAGACACCATCAGCAGCCCAAGGCTCTTACTCTCCAGGGCTGTGTCCAGCAAAAGGGTTCAAACTGGCCTCTTCAAGTCTCAGCAAGACCCACGCTGACCAGCGCGCACATCGTGGGCCTTTGCTCACCATTCCCACGTGGGCTGAGTCTCCCAGGAGGCAGCATAGTGATGCAAACCTCAGGCCCCAGAGACTGCTACATTCTTGCCAGAGAACTGGAGCCAAGCAGAGCAAGAACCTGAGAAAATCTCTCAATGAATGCCGAAGTATAAATATTTATCTTGAGTCCTCTGAATTTTATGAACTATTGACTTACAGACCTTGAAAATAGTTGCCCTCAGCTAGTCTGCTGGGTGTTGGGTGTTGTGTCCACATGTTATTCCCAAACAGGAGCATTCTGTTGCCCTTGTGATTCAGGTAAGCCTAACTCAGAGGGGTTAAGAGTGTGCTCTGAGGCCACGCAGCCAGCTGGCAACAGTCACTGTCTGAACTTTGGTTGGTGTGTATACAGAACTCCGCTGCTCCACTTCAGCCAAATCCAAGGGTCAAAGAAGAGGCTCTAGATCTCGGAATGTTCAGATCCACTTTTTAAATGAGTAACTTTGAAGAAGTCTAGAGAGATATTTATGATATTGAATTTCTTTAACCAAAAGAATTGTGGGGCTGGGGGATTCTTGATTGGTAATGTTCTCTTCTTGTACACACGGAGACCCACATTTGATCCCCAGCACCCACTTTAAAAAAAAAAAAAGCCAGACATGGAAGTGTGTTCTTGGAATCACAGGAATGGGAGGTAGAGACAAGCAGATAAGATCAGTGAAAGCCCCTGCTTCAAGAGTCAAGGTGGACGTTGGCTGAGGAACAAACGCCAATGTCAACTTCTGGCTTCCACATGCCCGTGCATATACATGCCCCCAGAGAGATTGATTTATGCAACTTCCAATGACTGTGCACCCAAACTGTCACCTCTCCATCGAGATTGGTCCGTGGAGAAGTCACATGTCCTGTGGGATGTTCATGAGCACGACAAACAGGCACAGAACACCGCAGCTACAGCAGCCACTTTGATAGCCAGGCCCCTCTCTGCGGGGAGCTGCAGTGGCCCCTCTGGATCTCCAGAGGATGGGTAGCAGGAGACTTATGATTCAGTTCAGGCTGCAGACCCAGGCTCTGGCCAGGTGCAGGAAGGGTGGGAGTCAAGCGACAGGAAAGCCAGCTGGGTAGGAGGTCCCTGGACCAACACAGGGCCCTGGGCTCCAGTGCCACCAAGGTCACAGGATTGTACCTCTGATACAGAGAGGTCTGCCCATCCTCACCCAGCACCCAGCACCCAGCTCAGCTCATCACAGGGCTCTGTCTCCGTGTCAGGCTCAGGTGTGATGTTTAGTGGCACTCTCTGGCAGCTGTAACTGAGTCAAACACCTTGCCTGGCATTCTGACTCCTCTGGTCAGGAATACTGATCACCGCTCTGGACACTGGAAAGTCAACATAGAGGAGAGGACAGGAGAGGAAGTCTATGCCTAGGGGGTTAAATTCTGCAGAAATCAGTAGCTAAAACCCCCAGACAAATAAGGTAAACTCATCGACCAAAAGAAGAAAATTAAAGTACTTAGTGAGGGCAAGATGGGTTTCCTGGTTAGAAGGCAGGAATGACAGGCCTTGTCCTGGGACAGGGGAAGTGTGGGTGATCCAGGACAGCAGGAAGGCCAGGGGCAGAGGCCATAGTGGTCTAGTGAGAAAGTGAAAATGAAGGGTGGGGGGCAGGTGTGGTCATGGTATCTTTCTGGAGACCCCCAGTGGCTTAATAGTAGCTCTAGAATTTGAGCCCCAGTCTGGAATGCCAAAGCCTTCCTCTGAGGGCTGTAGTCACACTGATGAGGTGCAAGGACTGTCTGAGTAGAACGTTTGGATTCCTACAAAACCATCGAGGGCTTTAGGCAGGGTGGTTTGCAGGAGTCTGACTTGCTGTAGCCATCAGTCACTAATTAAGAAAATAGGCTTGCCTGTAGCCCAGTCTTGTAGAGGCATTTTCTCAATTGAGGCTTCTTCCTCTCAGATGACTGTAGCTTGTTTCAAGTTGACACAAACCAGTCCTCACAGCCACTGAGGTCTCAGCCCTGCCCAGTCACCCACCTGCTTCTGTCTGTCTGATTGCTGATAAGCTTTCCACAGCCATCATGAAGGAGCATTGGTGGGGAAGACAGAGTGGATGATCTTGCTTTGCACCCCGACTTTAACCCCCAAGCCTGGAACCTTGGCCGGGTGGTCTAACTCTCACCTACAGCTGTAGGCTGCAGATGGAATCACCCCATACCATTCAATGAGGCTCCGCATCAAATGTGCCTGATATACAGTAGGTGCTTACTAAGTGCAGCTCCCTCTCATTGGTTTTTTTCTTTCACTGCAGTGTGGATTGCTGGATCGAAGGGGCAGATTTGCTCTTCTTCTAAGCTTGTTTATTATCTAGCTACACGCTGGCTATATAGTAGGTGTTACGGCTAATTGTGGTGGCCAACTTGACACACTCAGGGAGAGGGAACCTCAATTGAAGAATTGCTTCCATCAGATTGGCCTGGGGGAGTGTGTGTGAACTCTTTCTGGATTGCTACTTGATACAAGAGGGCCCAGGCCACTGTGGGTGGTGTCATCCCTAGGCAGAAGAGCCTGGACTGTTTATATAAGAAATGCAGCTGAATGTGAAAGCCAGGGAACCGAGCAGAAAGAACTTGCCCATCACTGCCCCCCCCCCCCCCCCCCCCCCCCCCCCCCCCCCCCCCCCCCCCCCCCCCCCCCCCCGGGCTCCAGGATTGATACCTACCTATGTGTCATTTGTTACCATGCTGTGACTCTTCCGTGGCATTCCAGTAGACTTTTGCTTCAGGCAGGGCTTTTTAATTGTCCCATGCTGGCACCCTCCTGTTAAGGGGATCAGATAAGACACACATAGAACGAGCCAACGCCACTGACTGGTCTGGGAATGGCTTCATCTGGACTTCTCGGCCCTGGATTCCTGCTCGAGCACACGCTGCCCGCACGAGCACACACTGCCACAGGAATGTTTTCAATCAGCCCAGCTTGCCGTCATCGATCTTCAGACATTAATCATTGATTGCTTATCATGATGGGCATCCGGGATGTTTACAGTAACAGTTGGATGCGGCTTAATCATTAATGCTGGCTTATTTCACAAGTTCCCAGGTTCACATCTGATCATATTGGGTGCTGACCTATTTACGAGGCACCGTCCTTTTGTTCTTTAGCCTAGGGTGAGTGAGGCGGCTCAGAGCGCAGGTGAGTTACCCTTGCTGACTTGGGGGCAGCTTATGGAGGATTTCGCAAATGATGAGGACTGCCAGAGCAACTGAGGCAGGGATTTGACAAAGTAGGAATTTGAGAACCAGCTTTGCAAGGTTGGGTGAAGATTAAGGGAGAATACACAGATAAAGTATTTATAGTGTGGTGTCTGGCAAGCTTTCTATAGGGACAGCATTGTGTCTGGGTATGGCTGTAGCTATTCCCATGTTCCTCCCTCCTCCCTCTCCTTCCTGCTTCTCTCTTCCCTCCTCCTCTTAATTGTCCCCCTCTGAATCTTCATACCCCCTTTCTTATTCTCTCCCTCCCTTTCTCAAAGTCTCCTTTGTTCCACATTCATTTCCAGATCCTGGTTTTAGAATTCACTTTAGCTTCACGCTAAAGGCAGGAACTGAACTCAAGGAAATATTGAACACCAAGAATAAAGCCAGAGCCAAAAGCTGCTAGCCAGTAGGAGATTTCAAGGCCCAGTGTGTATCATGTCTTGTTTACTCGTGTGTGTGTGTGTGTGTGTGTGTGTGTGTGTGTGTGTAGGTCAGAGGAAAACCTGCACAAGTTGGCTCTTTGCTCCCTCCCTCCACCATGCAGGTTTTGGACCATTGGACTTGGTTTCTCCACGGAACCATCTCACTGGCCTCTGCGGTGAGATTTTCTGTTTGAACTGCCAGCCAGCAGCTTGTTGGAGACAGCACTTACCTCTGCTCAGCTCAGTAGAGCCAGACATGCCAGGCAGTGGCATAGGCACTTCCAGGGAGGGTGGCCTTTAGCTTGCCTGGCTAGGAGGGAGAAAAGTCCACGAGCCCTTTGGCTGATGTCTGCGGCCTGCTGATGCTGGGAGCACCTTTACTTGCCTTTGCTCTTGAAGCCAATGTGGGCTCTGAAGGAGATCTCACTTTGGCTCTCTGGGCTCAGAGCCAGCCTCCAAACTGTGAGTGAGGGCTTCTTTGAGCAGAGCTGCCTTCCTTCTAACCCTGTGTCAGCTGTGGGGTTTGATTAGCAGCAAAAAAGCGATGGTGGTGGTTTACTAAATATTTAACCATGGGATGGCCTAGGAAGGGGTGGATCACATTGCCAGAGCAGAGTCCTAGTGTTTGGCTCCATTGACTATTAACCCTGTAGCTGCTGAATTCTGAGGAGGCCCCGTGCAGAAGACCATGAGCTGTGGCAGGTTCAAGGGACATTCAAGGGACTGGACCATTTCCCACTGGGTACAGGAGCGTTCTCATGTGGGGAGTGGCATATCTTCGTCCTGAATGACAGGTCTCTGCAGGCTGAGGGCAGGAAGCTGACACTTCCCTATTTATCCCCAAACAGGTTTTGTGTTCATCTTTGTTTGGGCTTTGTTTCTTATCCTATTTAAGCCTTCTGAGGGCGTGTAGAGTTCTTTAGTTCAATACTACGTGGACTTGGTGAGTCAGCTTACCTGGTTCTAAGGTATCACGAGGCCTGCATTAGCAGGGAACACCATATCTGTCTACAGGGGCTGTTTGCACTTTGGGCTGGAATTACACTACCATCCTCGCTCCTGGACCTTTGCTGTGGACTAGATACAACCTATGAGGAGTTCAGTTCGTCCTCACAGCAGCCTCAGGAGGGTGGCCTAGCCACCCTTCCCATTTGCAATGGAGGCAGAGAGAGGTCAAGCCGTTTTCTCCTAGCCACGCAGCTTTCTAAGTTATAGAGCTGTAAGTTGGAACCCCTGGTCTCAGAGTCCTTGCTGCCTGGCATAACCTCTCAAATGCGTCCTTGGCTCCGGAGTGGGTTCCCAATGGTGAGGCTTCTAGCCTGGAGACCTTACTGGAACAGTTGCCGTGGGCAGGAGATTTGGCTGACTTAGCAGCTCTCTTGCTGTTCTTTGCCTACCAGGAAATAGGACAGAATCCCAATTGTCTGTGACTGAGAGAGAAGCCCAATTCATCAGTCAGAGCCCTCTCACACAGGTGCCCAGGCTTGGACAATGCAGCATCCTGTTGTCGTCTACAGAAATAACGCTCAAGTATGACGTAATTGAACCAAAAAAGAAAACTTCAAAAACACCCTCATATTTTCAGTTTGTTTACTGTTTTGTGTTTGGCTACACTCATAGCTATCCTAGGGTTCATGCATCCCATGGACCAAAGGTTAGATGTGCCTGGGAGAGGACCAGGACCACGACCAGATAGAGCATCTTTCCTAGAGTGTGCATATCCCTCATCCTGTCCTCATGCTTAACTGGTTCCTCTCCACACAGAAGCCTCATTATTTTGGGACTTGCTGAGTCTCTGTCCACCCTCCCTGGCCCATGGTCCCTTGTTCTAATCCTGTCACATGGACTCAGTACCTTCTCTGCTCCCACCCACGTCTGTTCTCCAAGCTCTCGACAGCTTCCTGCACACCCTGACCTTGACTTCTCAATGACCCCAGGAGTGGGTGCGTACTCCTGCCACAGCTGAGGTCGCATTTTCCTGATCTGTTTCCAAGTTTAAGCCCGTGCTGGAAACTGTGAACTCACCGATGGTGGATGCCTATTATCTCTCTTCCCTACCAGCAATGCCCCTGCAAGGGTGGGTACGAGGCTGCTCTCCAGACTGAATTCACAACCTACTCCCACACCAGTCCCTGCCTTCCGTTTGGTTGACTGTTTGCTTTACTCTTTATGTTGACATCTTTGGGTGATGGAATGCAGACAGAGTGGGACGGGAGGTAGACGGCACAGGACAGCATGTACAGGTGTAGGAGCACAGGTAGCTTTGGGGTATGGATGATCCCTGAACATACAAGTCTTTCATAGCAGTCATCTATCTTCTCAAATCTTTGGTCCTCGCCAGGGTTTTACCCTGCTCCATGCTTTGATGGCACACACCTCCACTGTGGCTCCCTGCCAGTGTCCTGTAAAGCCAGTTTCCACACAGGCTCCTCTTTTAGCTCTCTGTCCCTCCCCCTGCCAGAACCGTCAGAACACCCTTGCTTTAATGACACCACTCTCTTGATACCGTCAGCCCTTGAGCACTAACTTGACTTGTCATCCCCCCAGTCCTCGGTGGCCTTGTTTCCTGTATGCCGCGTCCTCCCCTGGTTCCTTGTTCCCCATGTTCTGTTTGGGGGGGGGGCTTCATCAGGCCTCTTTCTGCTCCTTCTCTCTGGGCAACCTTTTCTAGGCAGGGATATTAGAGACAATTCTTCATGTCCAGCCCGGGAGACCCAGAACCAGAACCAGTAGGACATTATCTTCGCCTCCTTCCACCCCCGCTCTGTCTGACACACTCCTTTAAGGGACTGCGTCACACAGCTTTGGGGCCTGGAAAGCCCCAAATCCACACATCAAGCTACAGATTCACTTTGTTGATTGATGTAGTCATGTTCCAAGACTGGAAACTCGGCAGAACTCCTGTGCCATAGTCCTGAGGTGGATCCCCTTCCTCCTCGGGGCTCACACGCTTTTCTCTTAGGGTAGTGAAGTGACTGGGGACTGCCACCTACATCACAGAGGGCCATCTGCTTCACTTAAGTCAGAGGATTGCAGATGCTGATTAAAGTGAAAAACACTTTTTCAGCAACATCTGAATTGTTCTGCAGCTATCCAACCAGGGACTCTGTAGTCTAGCCATGCTGATACATAAAATGGGCCATCACACATAGAGATGGACAGACAGACAGACAGAGAGACTGGGATACACTACATACACACAGGTAAACACAGAGAGATAGATATGTACACACAGGTACAGATAGAGACACATATCACATAGATGATAGATAGATAGATAGATAGATAGATAGATAGATAGATAGATAGAGGACACAGACAGAGAGAGAGAGAAAGAGAGAGAGAGACACCTTACTAGACCTGGATGGAGGTGGGTGGTCCTTGGACTTCCCACAGGTCAGGGAACCCTGATTGCTCTTTGGGCTGACGAGGGAGGGGGACTTGATTGGGGGAGGGGGAGGGAAAGGGGAGGCGGCGGTGGGGAAGAGACAGAAATCTTTAATAAATAAATAAATAAATAAATTTAAAGAGAGAGAGAGAGAGAGAGAGAGAGAGAGAGAGAGAGAGAGAGAGAGAGAGAGCTGTTTCTGTGTCCTGTCTCTCCTGGGGTACCAGGCAGACACAGGTCAGGTTTCCAGAAGGAGAAGCAGGTGATGGGGATGAGTGAGACATAAAGCATTACCTTCTTTCATCTAGGCCAAGGGTAGCCTAGGCAACTGCAGAGAGGCTTGCAAATGTTTAAGGGAAAATAGCCCTAGGATGTAATGTAGTACCACATCCACCATCAGTGTGTCCATCATCAGCGCAGGGCCTCCAGTGTCCCACTGACATCTGGCTAAGGCAGCTGTCAGGCTCCTGGGCCTAAATCCAGCCCAGGCTGTAGCATTCTGTGAGGAGCCTGCAGACTGTGACCTGGCTTGGCTACTCAAAGCTTCAGAACTTTTTTTAAAAATTAAAGCAATTAAATGTGTCATTATATTAGCATTTTTTTCCAGTGCAGAAAAATTGGAAAACTATGGGAAAGCAAAACAAAACAGAACAAAAAGATCGAAATTTCCATGCTATCACAGCTACAGATGACTGCAACTTAGGTTTGCTGTTTCTGACCCAGCTATCTGTTCATGCATGAAAACATATCTGCCCTTGCTCATCCTTCAGCCCTATCTCCACTGTCCATGCTAATTCCTGCAGCCCCATCTCCACTGCCCCCACCCATCCCTGCTGCTCTGTCACCTCCACTGCCTGCCCTCCCTCATGCCTGGCCAGCCACTCGTGTCCATGCAACTGTGAACAGTCTGAGTGCTCTCCTGAAACGCCTGCTCCGGGAGAGCAGAGGGAAGGCTGCCTAGCTCAGGACTGGATCCCCCACAACAAGGGTACTGGGTTTATTAGTGTTTGCTGAATCAGTGCTCAACACACAAATCCTACCTTTGGATCTGCGTAAGAGGACACAGACTTAGTTTAAGCAAAGCAATGTTTAACATATAAAGCATTAATCATCAGTACATCCGTGTTTAATATCAAATGATACATATTCACTTATATGGCTTCCTCCACTTATCAAATAGAAATTTACTCCTAGGATTGTTTTTCCTGTCACACGTGTTTAGATAACAGGCTTTTAAAACAAGATTTACTTTATTTTAAATTATGTATAGGTGTGTGTGTCTTTGTGGGTGTGCCTATGAGTGCAGATGCCTGAGGAGGCCAGAAGAGGGCATTGGATATCTTAGAGCTGTAGGTACAGACAGTTGAATGTTAGGAACTAAACTTGGGTCCTTTGCAAGAGCAGTGCATATTCTTAACCACTGAGCCATTGCCCCATCCCTAGATAACATTTTTAAGGACTATAAGATGTTCTATGGGCTAGGGAGATGCTCAGTCAGTAGAGTGTTTGATGTGCAAGCATGAAGGCCTAAGTTCTGATCCACAGCGCCCAGGTAAAAAGCTGGGCATCGCAGTAACATCAGTAACCTGAGAATATGGGAGACAGAGACCCGAGGATCCCTGGAGCTTGCTGAGCGGCCAGACCTTCAGTGAGAGATCTTGGCCATTTGAGGATGACACCTGACATGGACCTCTAGCCTTGGTGCGTGCATGCACACACACAAAAGCAATGCACACAGCATACACAATAGATAACACAGAACATAAACACACATCACACTCACAACAGACAAAATTCACATCTAACACACAAGCAACACATTCACAACACAACACACTCACAACAGACATAATACACCTAACACATACACACACCACAACATGTACACACACACGCGCGTGCACACACACCAGACATAATACACACCTAACACACATGCAATACATTCACAACACCCACATGTACATAACACGCACATGTACACAACAGACATAATACATACCTAACACACACAACACATTCACAACATAACATACACACACATATGCATGCACACACACACACCAGACATAATACACACCTAACATACACGCAACACATTCACAACACAACATGCACACACACATACTTTCCACAATGGATGAACCATGATATACATAAACTTTCCTGCTACAAGGCTTAGACAGATCCCCAGTAGACAGACAGAAAGAAAAAGGAGCCAGGGCAGATTTTTAAAAATGATATTCTTGCTGCTTCTTCTGCATACTCCTGACCAGAAACAAAAACCTGAAGGCCTGGTGCAGTTTTGGGCTTTGTCTCCTGCCAGCAGGGCTCCCTGCCTGCGGACTGGTCTGGATTGGTCTGATGGTTTCAAGGCAGGCTCAGGACATGCTTACTCCAAAGTTTGGCCCTATCAGCCTCCTTGTGTTTGTTTAAACTGACCAACCCTGAATTAGGGGCGGAAGACCCCTCAACGGCCCTTAAAGCCCCAGCACTCACAGAAAGACTGGAGCTTTGTCTTCGGGAGTCCTCCCACTCTGATTTGCAGAAGGTCTTTCTGGGTGCTGTGCTATGCATGGGTGAGGGCACCTTGCTGCAACACACCACACAGTCACTATGGCAACTACCATTTTCTAGCATAGAAAATGTCGCAAAAAACATCTTGGACTAAAACTTTTGTGCTCAATTTTTTCTTATCATAGGATAAATTTTACAAACTCTGTGACAAGTTAAGCTAATGCATATACATCCTCCTGAAGCGCTAAAACATTTTAAAAAACTCTAGAAGACTGGCAAGGTTTCCCACTTCTGTCAGTCAGTGATTTGGGTTATGGTTTTGGAGACTGTTCCCAACTTGACTGGCGAGACAGATACTTTGTCTCAACTTCCACTGGCTTCAGTTTCCCCTCTGGAGACAGACAGTCTGTGTTTCGAGAGCATGTGCCTTTGTGAGCATGACCTTCCAAGTGGGGCTCCTGTGAGGGAACAGTCTGCATTCCCTAAGCTATGAGGCTGGTATGGGAAACACAGCCCTGTCTCATGTTTCCTAAATAGAGTTGTGTCAGGAGGTGACTGGGTCTTCTGGGGATCCGGGGTCAAATGAGGACAGAGCAAAGTCTCATCCCGGTGTCCTTGCCTGAGAGCATTCTTCAGTAAACCTCCTGTGACTTCCCCTTTTTTTGTAGGGTACTGTGGGGTGAACCCAGGATCTCATGGATGCTAAGCAAGTGTTCCACCATTGATCTACATCTCCAACCCTTTAAAAATCTTTTTATTTTGAGATAAGTTCTCACTAAGTTGCTAGACCGACCTTGACTCACTGTGCAAGCTTGGACTTGTGACCTCCTGCCTTAGCTTCTGAGTATCTGGAGTAATGAGTGTGTTGCTGCTGGATCCCCCTGTCTTATATATCTTTGATGGTTCTTTAAACGACATCCTTTCTTTTGCTCTTAGGAATAAGAGGAAGCCCAAGGCCTGAAAAATCAACCACGATGTTCAGCGAGAGGGACCCGGCAGAACACAAAGAAAGCCAGCAGAAGAAGACGGTGGTCAGTCCTGTTACCTTGTTTTCCTCTTACCTGGCCATTTCAGCAGCCAGGACAGGGCAGTCCTTCCTGCTCATTCCCACTGCCCCTCCAGGGGAGGGAGCTGGGGAGGCAACAGCAGAGAGCAGAGAGGGCCAAGAGGACAGCCGTGAGGGACGCTGTGGACTGTTTATAGGTCTGGGACGGCTCTGCAGGGAGACAGTCACCAGAGTCCTGTTATACAGGTGGCTCTCTGGACTTGCTGTGAGGGTCCCCATTCCAAAAGTCGAGGAGGGGACCTTGATGATGACAATGATTTGGTCATTGTTCTTAAATTTAAGGATGCATTGAGGAGCTGGTGAGATGACTCAGTTGGTCAAGCACTTGCTGCATAGAACCTCAGTAAAAGCCAGAACTGGTGGTGGGGGGGGTGCACATCTGTAACTGTGGCGCTGAGACAGAGTGGACGGGATGCTGGTGGGTCCCTGGAATCCACGAGTCATCCAGCTTAAAGGAATAGGGGAGGTCACATTCGGTGAGAGATCCTGTCTCTAAAAATAAGGTTCAGGGTGAGAGGAAGGCATCTGACATCAGTCTTTGGCCTCGACCCTGTACACACACACACACACACACACACACACACACGCACGCACGCACGCAATTTCAATATGCATGCATTGAAATCCATCCGTGCTCAACCTAATTCTGCCTCTGGGAATTCCTCAGCAGAAGGTCTCCATTAGGATTGAGGACACTGACAAAGATGATACCTTTAGGCAGCAGATTTATTTAATATCAGAGAGGATGTGGCAAGGGTTCAAAAGAAGGGGGAAGGAAGATAGGAAATATCAGGGCACTGGAGAAGACACCGGTGACTGCTTTAGAGCATTTAGGAAGGGGAAGGATCCTTTTTCACCGTGGGGAAAAGAGCAATCTAGCAGTTACGGGTGTCACTAGAGAGAAAAGGTACCTCAGTTGCCATCAGTGGGTGAGTGGTGTCTGAGGTCTCTAAGTTCCTAGGGGCCTGTTATATTCCAGGAGTTAGGATACTGAGGAAGATTGCCTTACAAATTTAGACAGGCTGTTTGCTTCTTTGTAGCAACAAAGAACCCAGAATCTGCTAAGAGAGCTTCTGCAGGAGGCAGAGTGGTCTCCCTCTGGGATTTCTCATAGCCTGATGTCTGGACGCCCCAGGGAGCCTAGCACAGACCTCTCCCCACACCCGGCCTCACCATGGGGTGCCTGATAGTGTCTGTAAAATGGTGGGAACACCAAGTGCGATTGGCTAAAACCTAACACTTAGCAGCTGGGACGGTCCCCTTGCTTAGCCCTTCTTGTCCCTCTCTGAACCACATGGAAGAGCTTACAGCCAGCCAGAGCCACCCCTCTGGGACCTTTGCATGGACACAGATTCCCCCATTCACTTCTCTTGGTCAAACTGTTGTTCTTGGCAAAGAATAGAAATTGAGACACTAGGAAGTCAGGGAATATCCATGTGTTTCCACACAGTAGGTGAAGAGTTCAAGAAATCTGAGCCTCGTCCCCCCCCCCCATGGTTCTTTTCTGTTATTACCATAATAACAGCCAACTCTCATGGGTGTGTGTGTGTGTGTGTGTGAGAGAGAGAGAGAGAGAGAGACAGAGACAGAGACAGAGACAGAGACAGAGACAGAGATGGAATGTAGAGATCATCTCTAGGTCACCATGGCAACCCTCTAAGGTTCAATTTGCTATAGCCCATCAGAAGAGGAATATCTGACCTCTAGGCATCCTGTTCTCAATGATAAGCAAGATGAGGGTGGGGTAGAAAGCTCCTCATTGTTGTACAACCAGATATACTGGTTGTATTTGTACGAGTAAGTGAACCACAGGGATCCTGGTGCCCTTGAACTGGCTGCCTCTGTGGGGACTTTAAGTGGGGTAGGGTTCACCTGATGAAGTTTCAGAAGTTTTTTGTTGTTGCTGTTGTTTTGTTTTTGTTCAAGACAAGGTTTCTCTGTAGCTTTAGAACTAGCTCTTGTAGACCAGGCTGGCCTCGAACTCACAGAGATCCGTCTGCCTCTGCCTCCTGAGTGCCTCTGCCTTCCAAGTGCTGGGATTAAAAGTGTGTGCCACCACTGCCCAGCTTGTTTCAGAAGTTTTTAATGGCTGATATGATCTGTTGTTGCAGTGAGAAAACAGTACACTGAGGAGCGCTCGGTGGCGGTGAAGGAAGAAATGAGGCCATGACTGTTCAGTCTTTAGTGTGTAGGGGTGTGGCAGTCCCTCATTCTCTGCTTCTGTCCTTCGCAGCCATCTAGTCTTTTTGCCTGTCACCTGTAGTGTATTTCATTTTAACTCTTTGAGGTCTGTCACCCAGCTCACAAATTATACACAGAGACTTATTCTTACTTATGAATGCCCAGCCTTAGCTTGTTTCTAACCAGCTTTTTGTTTGTTTTGTTTTTTTTTGTTTGTTTGTTTGTTTGTTTGTTTGTTTTTGAGACAGGGTTTTACTATCGCTTTGGAGCCTGTCCTGGAACTAGCTCTTGTAGACCAGGCTGGCCTTGAACTCACAACAATCCACCTGCCTCTGCCTCCCAAGTGCTAGGATTAAAGGAGTGTGCCAGCACCGCCACTGGTCTCTAGCCAGCTTTTCTAACTTAAATTAACCCATTTCTTTTCTACATTTTTACCATAGGGCTTTTTACCTTTATTTTTATATCTTTCTTTCCTTTTTACTCCCTGGCTGGTTGTGTGGCTGGGTGGTTAGTCCCTGGAGTTCCCCCTTTCCTTTCTTTTTCTTGCTCCTCCCCCCTCTTATCTCTAGCTTCAATTTCTCCTTGTATTTATTCTCTCTGCTCAGCAGCCCTGCCTATTCCTCTCCCGCCTTGCTATTGGCCATTCAGCTGTTTATCAGACCAATCAGGTGTTGTAGACAGGCAAAGTGACCCAGCTTCACAGAGGTAAACAAATGCAACATAAAAGAATGCAATGCATCTTTGCATCCTTAAAACAAATGTCCCACAGCATAAACAAATGTATCACATCTTCAACTAATATTCCACAACAGACACCTGCATCAGCTATCTGTGCCTGCAGGAGATGTCCCCTGGCTGAGGAATGTCATACTGAGTGACTACCTGGGCTCCGTGAATGCCTGGCTGAGGACCAACGCTGGTTTTTCTTGCTCAGAGACCAGCTGCTTACCCTGGGCATCATTGTCTCCTTGATGTGCCTCTGGGGCTGGATGCCTTCAGGGGCAGGTGACAATTAGGTCCCCAGCACAGTTCTCCTCGCATTCCTGATCTCCATGTGTCCTTCCCGCTACACATAGCTTGCTAGCTCCTCAGAGTCTGTGTGAGGACTTGAACCCCGCCCCTCATCTCCTAGGCATTCTGCATTGACCAAACCTGCTTCTGTTCCTTCCCAGACTCTCAGAGCACTTATACTGCCTGTCCTGACCATGGGTCACTGAAGATACTTCTCTGACTGCCACTGGGGCAAACTGGCCACAGAATGAATTAATTCTCATGCTGTCCTGGTGTGCAAGATGACATTGTCTTTATGCTTTCCCTGAGCCGGCTGGGGCCGGCAGAGAGGTCCACAGACATTCCTGCAGGCTGCTTGAACCGCTGGTCTGCTTTGAGCGGCAGAATGACTGTGCAGGACATTTAGAGAAAGATCGATGTTCCATTTTGTCCTGGCAGAGTGGCAGCTCAGAGAAGTGTCAGGACTTGCCTGTGGACACACAGTTAGTGGAAGAGTCAGCATTGGAACTCACCCAGCTTCTAAGGTTAAGCCTTTGGCTTTAATTCTTAGGAAGTTTCTCGAGGTTTGTGCCAGCTGACCCAGCCTGACTTCTGGCCCTGTAAGAGAGAACCATTTAAAAAAAAAAAGTCAAAAAAAAAAAATGACTTGGGTGTGCCTGGGGAGAGAAGATTTTTTTCCTCCCTCTCCCCCACCCCAGATTTTTTTTTTTTTTTATACTCTTCAGTTGCTTGGGGAAAAGGGAGCAATGTTGCTCGCTTCCTGTTCAGGCATGATCACATAGCCACACTTCCTGTTCTGCCCCCCTTCCTGTGGACTCTGCCTCCTCATTGTAGCGATGCCCTGGCAAGCCCAGGGTCCTGCAGCAAGGAAGAAAAAGAAAAAAACAAAAACCCCCAAAACCAAAAAACCATGGATGTCAGGGAATTCGCCTTAGCTTCCCTGAGACATGATACCAGCTGGCCTGGGGAGTTGCCTGTGGGTCACCGGCTGCTGAGGAGGAAGAAGGTAAACACAGACAGGCTTCCCCGCTGTGGGGAGTCCAGGCCTGGGTGGCTGCTGTGGGAAGGAGCTCAGCTGTGTCTGGCAGCTGTGTAGCGTAACACTCAGGAGCAGGACCGCTGGAGTTTCAATTCTGTGCTGCCTCTGTTGATTCCGGGGGGGCCCCCACTCCAGCATCCTGTCGGTGCACCGAGAATGAGGTCCTGGTGGACAGCACCTCAGGCTTGCTCAGGGCTACATCAGGATTGCTCGGGGCTGGCCATCTTTACCTGGGTTCAGAGGGAAGTGTGGGCAGGGAGTGGGGGTGGGGCAACAGCAGGCCACACAGGACCAGTGAACCAATAGGCCACAGAGAAGCAGAGAACCCCCAGAAGAGGGGCTGAGGCAGGAAATGGCTTCTGCTTGCCATCCTTCTCTGCCTGGCAGGACCCCTCCAGACCTGATGGGAGCAGTCCACCCTTAAGAAGATCTGGGATGAGAGCCAGTGGGAGGCGCAGGGCCTAGAAAAAAAAATGCTTAGTATAGCTGATACTGGGCAGTTCAAAGGAAGCGGTCTCTGAGCTCAGAGCCCGAAAGTACTTAAGCCCCTCCTACTGCACAGCACTGCTCTAGGCTCATTTTATTTGGTAATGCCCACTCATCCCTGGAGTGACAACCCCCACCCCCTGTCTCCCACCATGCCACCAGCATCTACTCAGTGCTGCCTCAGCAGCAGGCTTGGCTCGAGATCACAGAAGACAAACAACATAGCCTCAGTCCTCAAGACAAGCTCCACCCCCTGGCGCCTGACAAGGGACACCGTGCCAGCGCCAGGCTCTCCGCTTCTTATGCAAACCACTTATGGTGTGAACTCTATTATCACCCTGTCCTAAAGATAAGGAAGCCCAGTCAAGGCATGGCCATGTAACCGGTCAAAGCTTACAACACTGAAAGCTGCACGGTTAGGATCCAAAGTTGAATCAAAGAGAGAGACACGGCAAGGCACATAGCTGGCTTTCAGAAGGCTTCCCAGAGGAAGGGGCTTTGGCAGTGGGGCTCCAGTGGACAGGGTGGAAAGTCGAAGCTTGCCTGTCTTGGCAGAGGCTGGACCCGAGGAAAGTAAAAGAGATTTTCCTTTTTTTGATTTTTTTTTTTTTTGATTTTCCTTTGAGAACTGGCTGTGTCAAGCAGCACACTGGTTTCTCGGCAGCAGTACTGTTATTAAAAGCCCATTTTACAGATGGACAAGTTGAATCCCAGAAAGCTACTGCTCTGCTCAAATGCCCACTACTGTGTATTACTGGAGCCTAGCAAGGAGAGACTAAGGACAGAGCATGGAATTGCTGTTAGGGGCCAGTGTCACCTTCCAAACTATATGTGTGCTCAATCTAGGTTTCTAAACTAGATATTGGCTTGGTACACCCCTGGTGCACATGGGTGGGGGAGGGTGGCCAGGACCTCATACCTACTAAATGCATGCCCTGGTCTCCTCCACCAGGCAGCGGGCCTGTGTCTGTGCTCCAGTTCCCAGTGTTTGTGTGCAATGGCCAGTTCCTGGTTGTGGTCCTCTTGGATGAGGCTGGGACAGGTGTACCTGGACGCAGGTACCACATTCTCAGCATAAGCCCTGCATCTCTACCTGCAGGTCTGAGTGCTGTGTTATGCCCAAATCCGCGAAGTCACCCAAAAGCCAACAAGGAGACCGAGTCCCGTATGTAAAAGCAAAGAGCCTTTATATTATGCAAGTTTGCAAACTTGGTTTCTCTGCATGTCCAACGCATTGGAATAAGCAGAGATCCCCAAGCTCAGTTAGAGTTGGGTTTTTTATAGTAGTAAAGGTGAAGGTGAGGGGTTTCTGAGGTTCAGGGCCCCTGATTGTATGGGGGTGTCCTGGTGAGTGTGTGCTGGCAGGTGATCCTATCTACAGCGGTTGGAACATTAGGCATGGTTTGTCCTTGGGTGGTGTTCAGGTAATCTTAGTTTATGGTCCTTCCTGGAACCAGGTATTGCTTCAGGGTAAACTACTGAGACTCAGACCTCTATTAAACTTATTGATGACCGAGTCCTACTCTGGCAGCTGATAATGGTTGGAAGAAAAGAACTTCCTTTGGGTGGTCTGTTCATATTTAGCTTGTCATGGCTGGCTCCTACACTCGGCAAGCTAATGCTTTGGTCTAGAACTGTGCATGGTTGTGTATCTGTGTGGCCACCACCCATCTCAGGCCCAGGTGTAGAGTCAGCTGTGCTGGTGAAGAGACTTCTCCTGCAATGGGAACCAACTCGGACTCCGGGCAGCACCAGGGACAGCTCTGCGCGAGAAACACACACACACACACACACACACACACACACACACACACACACACACACACACCCCATGACACTGATAGAAACCGGACTGACTAGTCTAGGCATTCAGAGGAAGAATGATAACACGAAAGCGCTTAGAACGTGGTCTGGCAGTAGTGCTCAAGGACTGCCAACCTCTGCAGGGAACTTAGGTTTGTCTTTTGCTCCTCCTGGGTCAAACCACAGCTAGTGGCCACAGCCAGTGATGGTGGGGCGGAGACCCTCAGGCAACCCTGCAGAAAGGCAACCACATGGAGGGACCTCAGGGCGGAAACTCTGCCTGCAGCACCCTCTTCCCCAACCTGCGTCTTTTCCTGCCTGAATTCCCTCTGAACTGCCTTCCCATTGAGGGGGCACCACAAGATGACTCTTTCTTTTCCATTTTCAGGACTGGTCCTGGTCGCTCGTCCTGGCAGCTCTCGTTGGAGCCTTCGGATCATCCTTCCTCTACGGGTACAACCTCTCGGTGGTGAACGCGCCCACGCCGGTGAGTGCCCGTACGATCTGCCCGCCTCTGCGGCGCCCACATAGAGACCTTCAGGTCACAAGCCCAGCGTTAGGCCATTTGTAACGCAGGAAACACGGGTTGAGTGCTTAGTTGATGGGAAGCATGACCAGAAAAAACAGGGTGACAGTAGAAGAGGGTGTGTTGGCCGGTGGGGTGCGGAGTCAGTTTCTCATCGCTGCACTGAGGTATCTTAGGGCACTTGGGCATAGTGGGAGCTGCGCAGGTCCAAAGGGCTTGCGGGCTCTAATATCAGTGCAGAGAGTTAAGGAGCCCGGAGCTTAACGTTTTGACTTGCCTTTTTAAATTTAATTTTTAACCACACTCAGAGCCACCTGTTATGACTCATCCCTGGCTCCTGAGTCTGAGTCTGAGATCAATTCCGGGAGCTCTGCCGGTGGTAGCAGAAGGTCTTCCAGAGGCCAGGCTTTCTGCTGCCCGTTCCTGGCAAGAGAGAAGTGGCAAGGGGAGGGGCAGAGGCTGATGCTGAGCCCAGGCTTGCAGGTGGAGGGTGGGGCTGAGAGGCTACAGATTCAGAGAAACCTGGGGAAAGGCTCTGAGCTTCCGGTGGTTGGAGCACTGGGCGGGTTGGAGGCAGCCTGATGCAGATAGAAAACTTTGAGTGCCAGTATCCTCCTGTGTCAAATGCGGAGGAACCAAGGCTGGTGGGTCTCCAAGATGGTACAGGTGCCATAGATTGCAGGCTCCATTTGTGTCAGGGCAGATCTGGGTTGTAAACATTGTGTTAATGCTGACATTTGGGGTGCTAGCTAAGTTATTGCAAGAATGGGTTCTGCTGCTAAAGGCTACTGGGGAAAATGGTGCCAGGTGGCTCCTCCTGGTGTCTTGCAGCTGCCTGCATCTTTGCTTTTGACATTTTAAGATCAGAATTTGACTTAGCTGGATTCATCTCTGGGGGAAAAAAAATGACTTGGAATATGGACTCTTGCTTTGTCTGGAAAGCTCACCAGGGCAATCACACAAGAGGGTGGGGCCTTGGTGGAACAGAGATCCAAGAGAAACTTGAACCTGGGAAAGATGACATCATTGACCCGTGCACCACAGGGAAGAGGATGAGCGAGTCATTCGCTCCACAAATAGCTATTGAGTACCTGTCACATGCTGGATGGCAGGAGGACATGAAGGCAGAGATGTCTGGAGAAGGTGGCAGAGGTTGCCACCAAGAGGAGCCGAGAGAAAAAAGTTGCAGCTGTGGACAGTGGCTCAAACACAGTGACACTGCCTCCTGAGGTCAGGTCACCAGCTTCAGTGATGGGACACTTGAGGTCCGGGTGACAAGGTCCAGAAGGAATCCATGCTTCAGCTACTTACCAAGAGGGAGGCAGTGTGTTGCTGCCTGACCAATCCACACAGTAATGGACCCTAGATCTGACTGTCACCCAGGCCTGACCTTAAGAAGTTCCTTTATTTCTGATATAATCACACACACACACCACTTGGGCTCTGGTTGTTCTAGCCAGGGTTCACAATCATGCATTCTGTCTTCCTGAACATTCTGCCAGGGGTCTCAGCTAACCCCATGTGATAGCAGCCAGTGGAGGCCAATATGTCTAGCTTCCTGGAGGAACCATTGTTCTAAGTTCTCCCTCAATGCCATTACTCTAACTGAACCCATTCAACCTACTTTCAGGGATTCCCAGACTGTGCCTGCCCTGTCCCAGAGCTCCTTTGGCGAGAGCACACCCATGTGACTTCATGTGTCCACAGAGGGTCTGTGGTCACTTCAAGCTAGTAGATGTGAGCAGAGCATGTATGTAAGAGCCACTTGAAGCTCTAGCCTTGAAGAACCCCACAGGCCCAGGAGAGCTGTCTGACACACATTAGACCTTATCCAAGCTTGCAGGAAGTTGTCACTGTCTTTAGAACCTGCTGAGGCAGCGAGGCTCTAATGAGGTAGGCATTGATGGCCATAATGGCTGCCAACCCCTTCTCCAGTTCTCTCTGTAGCCTACCTAGCTCATAGAGACATCTAATGAGCTTCTCTGTTTCCAATCGGATCCCAACAGTTTCTTCTCCACTTAGAGACCAAAGGGATATTCCATAAATTAGGGTGCATCAAAATCCACCCACCCGTCCATCACACTTAGAAAACCACACAAATCTCCGCGACTGCACAGCTGGGGAATCCGGCCCCTAGTTAGCGTTCTCAACACAGGGAGTTTTCTCCTCACCTCTTTCATCCATTTGACCCTCAGACACCACACATGCCGGAACCACACGGCCTTTGCACTTTCTGCTGATAGCTGGTGCTTTCTCTCCGATTACCAACTCCCTCTTCTTAAATCTGTCTTCTGAGCAACACTTTCCCTGGCCTGCCCCCGTGGAATGGCACTTCTCCACGCCTCTCGAGTGGAGCCCTCAAATGATTTCCCCTTGTAGTACCGGTAGTATCTGACACCACCAGAGAGGGTAGATCTTTGTTTCTTGTCTCTCTTCCTATTTTAACATTTAAGCTTCATGAAGACGCGGGTCTGAGAGCTGTCTCCTCCCATTTTATAATCCTCTGTCGTTCTGGGAGTAAAGGCGTGCACCACCACAGCCTGGTTTCTATGGCAAGCTAGTGTGGCTACTGGGATTAAAGGTGCACGTTACTGCTGCCTGGTCTTGTAAGGCTGGCCAGTGTGGATGTTTCACTTTTCTGATCCTCAGGTGAGCTTTATTTATTAAGATACGAATGAAATGCCACTACACGCGGGCTCTCTGATCTCATTGCTTCTGCAGTGACACCATCTAGAACAAGACCCAACGCAAAGTGAGCAGTTGCTGCAAATGTGCTCCCAACAGATGGAAAGGGTTCTAAAGGATTTATTTATTTATTATGTATACAGTGTCCTGGTTGCATGTGTGCCTATATGCTCCAGAAGAGGGCACCAAATCTCATTACAGATGGTTGTGAGCCAACATGTGGTTGCTGGGAATTGAACTCAGGACCTCTGGAAGTAAAATCAGTGTTCTTAACCTCTGAGCCATCTCTCTAGCCCCTAACGGATTTTCTTTTGTTTTATTTTTTTGCAAGGTATTATTTTTCAGTGGTTGTGAGACAAGTTTCCTGGGCTTCTCTCTCCCAAGCAAACTGTTCTCAACAGTGTGAGTCTGCCCTGTGTAAGAATTCAGGTACTGTCCCTATTCTGTTCACAGGTGACAGACGCAGGTCTAATCATCTAGTGACCCATCTTTCTGCTCTCTTACAGTGACCCGCTACAGGGTCAACAAACATTTATTTGTAAAGGTTCAGACCACATATACTTAGCAAGGCCATGTGACTCTTTTTGTGCAATTCTTCAACTTTGCCCAAGTGAGAAAACAGCCAGAAATAAAATAGAAATGAATAAATAAAACTGTGTGCCAATAAAACTATTTACTAAAGCAAATATTGGGCTAGAAGTCATTACCTAACCCTTGTGTTTAGGGTTCTAGGAGAGAGTGGAAGTACCAGCGCACTTCCGAGGTCTTAGTTTCTGGCAGAAGGCTAGCTGGCTGAATATTTCACACGTGGTCAAATTATGTAGTGTCCAACACAGACTGAAGTCTCTTTCATTTTTGTTTGTTTTGTTTTGTTTTCAAGACAGGGTTTATCTGTATAATTTTGGCTGTCCTGGAACTTGCTCTGTAGACCAGGCTAGCCTTGAACTCAGAGATCTGCCTGCCTCTGCCTCCCAAGCACTGGGATTAAAGGCATGCACCACCATGGACTGACTTGGACTGAAGTCTTCCTGTGATGTTTCTTTCCCAGAATTTCGCTTTATTGCCAGATTATTAGTGATAGCCCAGGCCTGTTTACTTGTTTGTTCCCAGTAACCATCTCTATCATCACCTGTCTTTCTGTCTATCACCATCCATCGACCTATCTACATGTGTGCCAGAAGCATTTGGAGGCCCTTGCAGAAGGCCTCAGAATCCGAGACTAATATACATGCTAATCACACATCTTTGATCATGACCTTCACTCCCAAGCGGTCATGCAGACAGGCTAGAGATGCCGATGCTGCATACGGCAAATGCCCTCAGATTCATACTGTTTAAGCTTTGCCCCTGAGGAGAACGGAGCTCTTCAGAACACTGGGTTTGTCAGTACTGCTAGAAGAATCTGTGATGACCAGAGCTGCAGAGGAAGATGCCTTGGTTCAAGTGGTCTCCCCATGCCTGCACTCAAGAGGCCAGGGAGGGCTGGATGGAGACATTGCAGCTGTTGTAAGCTGTCTGAGCTCCACACGCAGCTCTCTGGTAGCTGGAATGAGTTTCCGTCGTTGGCGAGGCAGGGCTGTTTGCAGGCTTGGGCAGAGTGGTGATGTCAACAGGACCCCTGCCCCTCTTGTCCTAACCTATACTGAAGAAGAGCAGAACCGGGCAGAATGACCTATGGGTAGCCCCCAAGAAGAGCCTCCAGGAGGGACTGCAGTCTAGCCAAATGAGAGTGCAAGCAGAGATGCTCAGTTAGCTATGGATGTTGTTTCTGGGAGACAAGCTCGCGCTGAGCCAGAAAGAGCCGGCAGGCTGATAGAATGGGCGTCTCTGGACCAAGACTCTCCTCCCCTTTGCTCCCCTTTCCAGCCTCTCTCTGCTTTCACCTGGTCTTGTTTGGCAGTTGTAAAAGCAACAGACTTAGGAAAAGAGCCAGAGATTTAACAACAGAACCCCTGGCGTAAATCACCTCCATAAGCCAGACCATGTCTCTCGCTTGTCTAGAGACTATGCCAGGATAATAACACCATGGCAGTAAAGAAGGGGAGAGTGAGCAGCCGCCCCAGGCAGCCTGCTCCATCATCCAGTGGCCCTGCTTTTTTGACATGCTAGCGCTGAGGTCGCTGAGGTCGTTTCCTGGGGTTCACCCCCCCCCCACCAGTGTGTTGTTTATATAATGAGCATCCTTCCATGCACTGGGAAGTCTCCATCGCGGGGGGTTTTCACACCTCACTGCACGTCTCTAAGTCAGGGCTGTCACTTCCGATTTGTCTCTAAGG